TTAAAAAAAAAAAATCAGTATAATTCAAAGGCTAAAAGAGAAAAGCCGTGTGATTATCTCAATAGTTGCAGAAAAAGCATATGCTAGAAATATCCATTTATGATTGGGGAAAAAAACCCCACCCAACTTTGCAAACTAGAATATAAGTAAGCTTCCTCAACCTGGTAAAGGGAATTTATGAAAAACCCACAGCTAACAAGTAAGATTGGGACCAAGGCAAAGATGTCTGCTCTTACCACTTTTATTCAACATTTTGCTGGAGGTCTCAGCCAGTGTAGTAAGGCAAGGAAAAGAAATAAAAGACACATTGATTGGAAAAGAAGAAATACAGATGTTATATTCAGACAACGTGGATTGTGTTTGTAGAAAATCCTAAGGAACTTACATCAAAAATCTACTAAAATTAATAAGTGAGTTTACCTACGTTGTAGGCTACACGGACAATATGAAAAAAACCCAGTGGTATTTGTATACACTAGCAGCAAACAATTGGAAAATAGAAAAAAAGACCATTTGCAATGAATCAAAAAGCATGAAACGCTTAGGGATAAATTTATGTGCAGGACCTGTACGCTTGAATTATAAAACATTGCTGAGATAAGTAGAGAGACACCGGTTGGGAGATAAGTTTTCCATTGGTCTTTGCAAGAGAGACAGTGACTGTCCTTTTAAATAATCATTTCTAGGATGTTTGTATAGCATACAGCCTTGAATGATAGATATAGTGATTCCTGCTGCAGCCAAGGGCAGATTTGCTTGTTGTGCAGTATAATAAAGATAATATCTTCCTGTGGACAAAAGGGCAGGTGTGCTTCAGCCCATTATAAATGAACCAGGTTCTCTGAGCTCAGGGTTATGAGTTGTGATACAAATCCCCTGCCTACACAGCATCTACCTGGGCCTCTCCGTGTCCACCCTGTGGGACTTGCAGGCAGCCGGAAGAACTCATAGACACATGATGCTCATGTTCCTTGCTGTGCTGTAAGAAGTCATCTGTGTCTCTACCTAGGACTGCAGTGTGGTCTGCCAGTATCTGTGAAATGGTAACAGGATACTTTGTTAGCTTTCAAAGAGGGTCTAAAATCTCAGATCCCTCACAGTTCTTGGCAGTTTGGGCCATGAAAATGGAGTTCTGACAGAGACATAGCTTTCTGAAAAAGGAAGATGACAGCCGTGTGGGTTAGGTTAGGGGATATGAAAAGACTCTGGCATCTGGTAATGAATGCTGTCACTCAGGTGGTGGGCAAGGGTGGCAGGGGGAATAAGTCTTCCAATGTTCTACCTCTTAATGGATATTTAGGGGCTGAACTGAGAGCCCAAATGGTGCTTTGGTTGTTGTACACTCAACTCCATAGCCCCATCTGAAAGGCGTAGCTGCTGAGTTAAGGAGTCCCCAAAGCTGAGATAATGATAATGGTGTCAGGAATAGGACACCAGAAATGGCATCAGAGGATATAGAATTTTGGGTGTCTTAGAAGTTTGTTTAGTTGAGTTGTGAGTACTTGAAACTGAAAGTAAATGCACTGCCAGACGATTATCTCCTTCTGTGACCTGACTTCTCCCTCCTCCTACACCTTGACTTCAGGTGCTTTAAGGAGAAAGATGAATAGAGATTGGGCAAAGGTCTCCTTGTCCTTAAGGGGGAACCAAAGGCCATACCACATGACCAAATATGCTGGGGGAACTTCGGGGAGAGCAAGGAGTCAGACTTCTGTGGTTGTGTTGGATACTGGCACCCTACCAGTTCTGTGGGGGATGGAGTGTGCTAGATGTGACTGATGGGGCTTGGACAAGGTTTGCAGAGGGAAAGGAAGCTAATGTGACAATTGTGGGTTGGGCCCTTTGTTGTTGTGTACTGTTTCCATTGCTGAAGGTATAATTGGTGTTGTTTTTACATGCCTACTTTAAATTCCCATAAATGTCAGAGGGGATTCTCCTGATCAGAAAGACCTGTATGTAGAGAAGTGCTAGTACTTTGGGGTCTTAAAACGCTAGTAATTCCTTTGAGCTTCAAGTTATTGTGACTGGTGATTTTATAGTGTATATAAAGAACTTATCCAATTCAGTAAGAAGACAAAAAAGCCAGTATTTTTTTAAAAAGGGAAAAGATTTTAACAGACACTTTTCAAAAGAAGATACACAAATACACTGCATTATGAAAAAATGCTCAGTGTTGTTAGTCATTTGGGCATTGCAAGTGAAAACCGCAATGAGATACCACTTCACACCCATTAGAACGGCTGACAGTACCAATTGTTATCGAGGATGTGGAGCAGGTGGAACTCTTGCGCATTGCTGGTGGGTGTATACAGTGTTGGGAAATAGTTTGGCACTTTCATGGAAAGTTAAAAATAAATTTACCTTATGACCCAGCAAGTCCACTTCTTGGTATTTATTCAAAAAATACGAAAATATGTATCCATAACAAACTTGAACTTGAATGTTCATAGCAGTTTATTTATGAGAGTCCCAAACTGGAAACAATTTCCAAATATCCACTCACAGGTGAATGGATAAACAAATCATGGTAGATTTGTACGATGGAATATTACTCAGCAATAAAAAGGAACAGAACTCCTAGTAAGTGAAGGAATAAAGATAAATCTCAACATGCTCAGTGAAAAAACTCATTTATATGATTCCTTTATATCCTGAGTACATAATATATGATTGCATTTATGTGAAGTTGTAGAATGGGCAAAAAGTCAAAACTATAGTGATAGAGCAGCTCAGTGGTTGTGTGGGGTGGGATTTTTAGGGTAGGGGATTGACTGTAAAGGAGTAGACTTGTTTTTTCTTCATTTAAAAATACCAGTGGTAAAAATTTAAGGCTTGTGATTAAAATTGTGAACTTTGGTATTATAAAACATACCCTGATTTTGAGTCTGGGCTCTGTCATTTACTAGTTATGTGACCTTGGCAGATTTTTTAAGCTAAGTTTCTTCATCTGTAATATGGGAGTGGTAATAATACTATCTCAGAATTGTGAGGATTAATTATGCCATCATTTGTATATAGCAAGCATTCAATAATGATTAATTTTGGCACTTCAGTATTTGTCAGTGATAATGTAATTTGGTGCTCATGTCTGTTACTCTTAATCTCAGAATGGGTATTTTTGTTTTGTATTTTAAAAAGGAAGAAAAGGAATTGCTGATTAGGTTTCTATGGATCTTTAATGTTGTATGGGCAAATAACATTATTATTTAGTCAGTCATGAACATGATGCACTCTCTTTAGTATGTGAAGATAATGGTACTGACTCCTTCATTGGAAGTTCTGCGTAACCTTTGGCTAAAATCATCACAGTTCTGACTTGTTCATAATCTGCTTTATTATTATTATTATTACCACTTTTTTTGTACTGGGACTGGTTCCCTTTTTGACATTTTAAATGGCTATGGAGGATTTGAGAATCTTCTTCCCAAATAAAGGGTTTTTTTGGTCTGAAGCTAATTGATCAGACTTGAGCCAAATAAATCATTTAATCTGTACTTGCTGAGGTGGATTACTCTAGAACTCCTTTAACATTAATTTGAATATTTAATGGATTTTTATAGATGGCAAACTACCCTCATCTTAGGACCTAGCTCCCTGGAGATTTAAAGATATTTTCCAATATTTGTTTACATTTAAATCTTTCTTTATATGAATCAGCAGTTTTCAAGTCTATCAATAGGAAAAAAAATAACTGGCAAGAAATAAGATGATCAGACATGTCAAAGACTAAAGAGTTTTATGAGTGGGCATTGAAAAGGAGTTTCATGTAATTATGTGACTTATTGTTGCTTGAATGCAGTATACTTTGGGATTGAGACATGGCGAATGAGAATATTTGCTTCTAGTTTTGTGTCCCAAATGACATATTTCAGATTCTTGAAGGTTGAGAGTATGTTGAAGTGGTTTAAGCCAAATAGATACCAGGAATATCCTTCATTCAGTTGTACATCAGCAACAGATGATTATTTTGTCACTTGCACTTTTTTGAATAATTTTATTCTTAAATCTGTTTTGAAAACTAGTAATTTATTCATTTTCAACTTTTATTGCAGTGCCTGATCAACTTTCTAGCAGGAGAGCGATCATGGAGGTGGTGCCAGCTGAGGTGAATAGTTTGCTTCCAGAGGAGATAATGGACACTGGTATAACTTTAGTGGATGATGATAGTATTGAGGCTGTTATTGTTTCATCCCCAATTCCCATGGAGACAGAACTGGAAGAAATTGTCAACATAAATTCTACTGGTGACTCTACAGCCACGCCCATTTCCACGGAACCAATCACAGTGTACAGTAACCACACTAACCAAGTTGCAGTGAATACCACAATTACTAAAGCAGATTCTAATACCACAGTGAAACCAGCTTTTCCAAGTGGCCTTCAAAAACTTGGTGCTCAGACTCCTGTGACTATATCAGCCAATCAGATTATTTTAAACAAAGTATCACAGACATCAGATCTTAAACTTGGCAATCAGACCCTTAAACCAGATGGACAGAAGTTAATTTTAACAACTTTGGGCAAGTCTGGTTCACCAATTGTTTTAGCACTACCCCATAGCCAACTACCCCAGGCTCAGAAAGTTACAACTCAGGCCCAGTCAGGAGATGCTAAATTGCCACCGCAGCAAATTAAAGTAGTTACCATTGGAGGGAGGCCAGAGGTGAAACCTGTCATTGGTGTCTCAGCATTGACCCCAGGAAGTCAACTGATTAATACTACAACTCAGCCCTCTGTGTTACAGACCCAACAGTTAAAAACAGTACAGGTAAAAAAAAAAAAAGGGGGCTTATTAATTCAAATGCATGTTAAAAATTAAATTGATTCATAGTTGTGTTTGTAGGGTGATTAAATGCATAGTTGTTACTGAATTCTTTTGAATGTTGCTTTTAGTAATTGTGTGGTTTCTTTTTCGTAAAGTTTGATATGTCTAATGCTTTGAAAATGTTTGCTAGAGAACTTAGAGCAAACTTAATTTTTGTTAAATTTCAACTTAGTGTATTTATAGCTCTTTACTCATTTTTAAATGCATTTTATTCTTAGTAGTAGTTTGATTGCAAGTATGCTCTGCTGGTATAAAGATACCAGAGTTGCTGCTGGGCTGTCAAAAAATCATTCAGACATAATTTTTTTCAGTTAACAGATGGCCAAAGTCTAGGAAAACTTGCTGCTCTGAGAAATCCTTGGAGCCAGCAATAGTACATACTAGCCCGCGTGTGCCACCTCTTTGCAGTTTCCTGCCCACTACCATCACTCATGTTTGCAGTGTGGAAAAGGCAGTGTCACGTGATGGAAGGTAACATATTGGCTTTAGAATTGGACCAACTGGATTTGAGTCACTTCTATGATACCCTACCACCTGTGGAACTTTGAATCGGTTACTTCTCTGAGTTTTTGACTTTAGCTGGAAGATGGCTATTTGATCATGATGAAATACATCGTAAAAGATAGTACTTAATGTAGTTCTCAAAACTTTGAGGATCCTTCAAAATGGTGCCTATTATTAGTATGAATAGGATCCTAAGATAGAAGGTTAACAGAACATATATTAAATGGTTCCCAGTTTTTCACGCTCACATAGGCCTTTTTAGGTCATCACTGCTCTTAAAATAAAATGATCCTCTTAAGATCAGGAAACACAAATACATTCCCTGCTTGAAAGATTCACCTCTCAGAAAAAAAGGAACAGGCATGACTTAGAGAACTGATGCAGGTATATAAGGAAATAGGAAGATGTGAGGAACTACCCGTGCTCAGCTGATGTTAGAAATAATGAGGTTTTGGTTATTATGTTGGCAGAATAATTAGAAATTTATTTTTCATGGGCTTTTTTTTTTTTTTTAAGCTTTTGTTTTTAAGTGATCTCTACACCCAACGTGGGGCTTGAACTCACAACCTCGAGATCAAGAGTTGTACACTTTTCCAACTGGGCCCAACTAGGCGTCCCTTGTGGGCTTTTTATTTAAGCACTTTGTTTGATTTCTCAAACCTTGTAATTTGCCCATATCCCTCCTCCCACTATTAAATATTTAGTGCTTTTCTTTCTTGATTTTTTTTTAAAGACGTTAATTTATTTGAGAGAGAGAGAGAGAGGGCACGAGCAAGGGAGGGGGAGAGGGAGAGGGAGAAGCAGACTCCCCACAGAGCAGGGAGCCCAACATGGAGCTCCATCCCAGGACCCTGGGATCATGACCTGAGCCAAAGGCAGATGCTTACCCAGTGGAGCCACCCAGGCATCCTTCTTTCTTGTTTATTATCATCTCTCACTTATCTCTGACTTCTTTTTACTACTTTTGGTGAGAATCTCTTGAATGAGATAAACTGTCCCCATCAAGCATCTTGTCTTCAGCTTGTTTTTTAAATCAGTTTTGAAACTTGTTTTTATTAGTTTACCATAGTTTATCTGGCTTTGGGGATCATAACCACGTTCACAATAAATTAATAATGAAAACCAGAATATCATATTTTTTTTCATTTACTAGAGCAATGTATACATGCTATTTAATGACCAGGTTACTTGTATCCACAAGTTTTCTACTATAATCCCCTAACTACTGACAAAGAAAGCAAAGACTGGGGTCTAATTCTTAGAACTGCTTTTATTATTGTTACTTTTATAAAGCCTGATTCTGTTTATGAAAAAAGGACTATCATTTATTTATTTTATTTTATTTATTTGAGAGAAAGAGAGAGAAAGCACAAGTGGGGAGAGGGAGAAGCAGACTCCCTGCTGAGCAGGGAGCCTGACATGGGGCTCTATCCCAGGACCCTGGGATCATGACCTGAGCTGAAGTCAGACACTTAACCGACTGAGCTACCCAGGCACCCCCCATAAAGAACTTTTATTTAAAAAAAGAACTAACAAAAATAAAAGAAACCCCATTTAGAATATCATTCCACTTGTCCAGTTTTTAGGCAACTCAAATCTTTCAAACTCCAAAGTAACCTACAAAGCTCTAAAGCCCCGAAAAAAACAAATAAGAAGTCACACATTTATGTTTCCTCTTTAGGCACCAGAATATTTGGTTTAGTATTACACGTTGTATATGATTCTCTGGTTTTTTTCCTAGACAATCCTCAGCATTGTCTTAAGTTTAATCAGAGTATTGAAACTGTTAGGGTATGGACAGTAGGTAAGGGTGGAAGAAGGAGACCCACCTTGAAAAATGAAGGAAAGAGGTGACAGTTGAGGCCAGAGGCAGTAACAAAGAGGTATAGTTATACTTAATTACAGATATATAAACACTTTCCCATATTTCTTGTGCATAGTATATAAGAGTAATTAATAACTAACAGTCTGGAACAACATAACTCCTTATTAGTTCCTGAACCAATACAATACAGTGCCAATAATTACCTGTATGTATTATTTGATCATATATTTGGCTGTCTTATTTGTAAAATTCCTTTTTTGATTCATTTTTGTCTTTATCTGCTGATTACATAAATTTGTTAAAAGTGATACTTTGCGCTTTGTTTTGCTTGATAAAGTAATTTTGTTCTAGAGTAGTTTAGAATTTAATAATGCAAAAAGTATGTTTCTTTGAAGGAACTATAAATCGCTATTTTCAGCAATGTGCCACTAAAGAAACATAACCACAAGGGCAGATTGAAATTGTTCATTTACATAATTAATGTGCTTTTGATTGTATTGTTTACATTTTTTTTCCTGATTGGTAAGTATTCATATAGTCATATGATTGTGAAAATCAATTAAAAATAGGGAAATACTCTAAGCTCCTAATCTTTACTTTATAGTTAAGAATATTAAAAAAAAGATTATTTATTACAAGACATGGGTTTCTAAGAATATCAATACTTTTTCCTTTTGTGATTATTAGTAGTAGGTCAATAGATGATATATTCTGACATTTTAGAATTTTAGACCTGTAAACACAGTTGGGAAATATAGTCCCTTTATGTCTCCCAAATTGCATCAATTTTTTGAAGTATAGTCGTACATTTATTTGGGTATATCAGTTTTGCAAGCCGGGTATCTTTTTTTAGTATGGTAATGGATCTCCTTTTTTTTTTAAAGCGATTTGTATTTCATTTATATTTTGTTTTGTCAGTCACATGTTCTAAGTGTAAGAAAGTAATATATTCTAGGTGTAAGGTTGTAATGTGTTATTTAGTTTAATTTATAATTTGAGCACAAAGCTGATATTTATGTAGTTCTGTGATCCATTGCAGCTTCTGGTATATTTCTGTCATTCAAATTGGTCATGTTTATTCATTTTAAGTCATTATTTCCAATATTAGCACTTTTAGGACCTCAGTTTTCATATCTGACAAAAAGTAAAATTAATATTTAATGTCTTCCCTATCATAGCTAAATTTCTGCTTTTAACTTTTAAAAGAAGCTCTATCTTTGCATACATTGATAATTTCCGTATTAGAACATTGATAACTCTACCCTCCTTGACTTGTGGAGAATTTTAGTTCAGGTCAACAGTGTGCCGATATAATTTAAGATCAGGGATGAATATAGACCCTACCTTCAAAGAATTGATAGCCTAGTAAACAGTATTTTAGCAAATAACATTTCTAGCACCTTTGCCTTTAGAATAGTCTTTGTTTTGCCAAACTTACTTCTTTGTATCCTAGGGCATTAACTTGTTGGGTTCTTTGTATATCTACCCCCTGATCTATAGATATAGATATAGATATATTTTTAGATATATACATCTAAAGCTGAAGATCTAATCATAAGCCTGTCTTTATTGTGTATTTATATTTTGCTTCCAGGGGCCAATGTAATTGCATTTACAGGTGGCTTCATCATTGGCATCATGCTTTCTTAACTGACTCGACTCTTCTATTATTGAATAATTTGTTATTTTGAGAAAGAATATTGCTGTGTCATAGTGTTTTAGTAGTATTTATTATTAAATAAGCATTATTATTAAACATTTCTAAATACTCATTTGGTTTTCATCATATGCATATTATCCTACAGACTAAAATAAGGATTTACAATAAAAATGCAAAGGTATTGCTATATATTGGCTTAAGGATGGGATCATATTAGTATTTTGATGAACGGCTGAATTTTAGGTGTTTTTAACATGAATACTTAGATATATTCTGTTAAATGAGCTGGTTTCACATGTACTTCTGTATATCAATCTTCTGTTTAATTTTGAAGGTGTTTTACAGAAACAGATCATCTTCATAGTTATTTATATATTTCAGATTGCTAAGAAGCCTCGAACACCAACCTCTGGTCCAGTAATCACGAAGCTGATCTTTGCAAAACCAATTAATAGTAAAGCAGTTACAGGACAGACAACTCAAGTATCACCACCAGTCATTGCAGGTTATATTTCTTTATAGTTTATTAAGCTCTATATTTACCTTCCTTATAAATTTAAAAAGGGCTTTTCTGCCATCTTGAAATGTTTTAGTGCAACAAGTAGGGTTATTATCACAAACCAAACTAGTTAATAAGAAATGTGACACTTATTAAATGTGTGCTTCGAGCAAAATACCTTACTTATCTCAAAATTAGTCCATTATTTTAGTCTTCATAGAAGTTTTTTTTACCATGAAGGTAGCAAAGTCTTAAGCGCCAATAATACTAGCTAACATGTGCCTTGCACTATTCTTAGCTCTTTACATAGTGACTTAAATAGTCCTTGGGCAGTCCTGTGAGGTAGGTATTAATAACAGCCCCATTTTGTCAGTGTGGAAATGGAGGCTCTCAGCTCGTAAGTGGTCGAACTGGGATTTGAACCCACGCAGTTTGTCTCTAGAGCACATGTAGTTAAGTTTAATAGGTTTAAATTAATACCCACGAGAGTGTAGTATTTCATGGTTTCTGTTTGAATTTTTGGTTTCATTGTGTTAATATGCTTTATATGCAGTTTTCTATGGACAGGAAATTGTCACAATGATAGTAATTACTTAAGTGACAACAGAATTTTAGCTATATTTACCAGCAAGTTCCTCAGTGTGGCCCAGTTCTCTTTCATTATATACTTTAAAATTTGTCATCACCGGTAACTGTAACACCTCAGATCTTGACTTCAAGTATTTTATTTTCTTCATAGTTTATCTGCCTTTGTATCCCCAATCTAGCAGTTCTTTGACTTTGAGATCTCTAGTCCATTAACCCTTCTGTTTTCTCATTAATAATCACCCACTTCCTGTCCTCAGATTCTTCCGTAGTCAACATGGAGTCCATGACTCATAATTATCACTTCCGAACAAACACCAGTGATACTCTTTTCCCTTTCTCCTTCTATAATGGCTTACATCCAGCTCTCTTCTTACTTTTTGCCTGACAGGCTGCTCAGTACTTCTAGAGAGACACACAGCCATGGTGACTGGTCTTCAATTCAGAGCTATACTAACATGACTCTTTTCACCAGTTAGGGGCTCATTTCTAATTTCCATTGTGTTGAGGGCTTATGGAGGTACCTCTGGATGGTAGACTTGACTAGAGACTTTCAAATGCTAATTACCCATTCCTAGAAAGTGTATTCTTTTGATGAGGGTACTTCAAACCTTAACTAACCATGGGGGAGGGTGGGGTGGGAGGGGATATATACTAAAACCACCTACTACTGTTTTTGATCAGTTTACAGAGAGTGTAACAATAGACAACTCTGAAGTCAATGGCAGTGATCTATCATTTTCCTGAGGCTTTGAATTGTATATAGGGAGGCTTCTCATTTTAGCAAGTGAGAGGAGGCATGGAAAGATTGTAATTTGAGGGTAGTGTTGGGTGAATGAATTTTCTCTTTTGGCCCTTAGCAGAGATTTGTGATGTTATAGGAGGCTGTCTTGAGGGCTCTTATGGGAGGCAGGTATGACCCCAGAAGAAAGACTGGAACAGGTTTGAATTTGGAGCTGGTTCAGGAAGTGGGCTTCAGTTGGCTGAAAGTAAGGAAGGTTTTGGATATATTGATGAAAAAGGACCCCCACCAGTCCTCTGGGAGGTTTTGGTGGAGAGGATTAACCAAGAGGAATGTCTCAGTGCAGTGTTTTGTTTTGTTTTGTTTTTTTACTAGTTTTGAGTTTGAGAGAGTTCCTTAAATTGTTTAATTATGTGAGAAAATTATATGCTAAACAATTGTGGTGTTTGCAGAAGTCTCTGAATGAATATTTGGTCAATGCCAAGATTTCACCTCTTTTATATTTGACTATAATGATGTCATTGCTGGGTGTTTGGATCATTTATATAATGTGTTTGCACACTAATCATAGCTTCACCTTTTAATTATAGGCAGACTTATTGGTTCTACCAAAAGGCATAGATAGACTTCTGTTAAATTTTATTAGAATTGTTGGCATAAGTTCAGTTGGAGAGAGAATTTCTACTGTCAACTGGTCATTATATAGCCTTTTAAATTCATATGAGCCAAATTTTAAACCACTGAGGTAGCTTTCCTATTGAATTCTCTTTATCACAGGGAGGTTCTATCATCTTTATATTGCAGCAATTGATTTCTCAAAGTACATTTAGATTGTTTTTAAATGACTTTTGGTCTTCTCATTGAAGATGGATATCTTTTTCTGTCTTACAGTCAAGATAAATTTATGTTTATATATAAGTGATTTTTCTAAAATGCAAATCTGATCTTGACACACCCTTGCTTAAGATTTTCTTGGCTGTATCCATTTCTTATCTATTTCTTCGCTTCAGTCTGTCAGATTTGAATTCAAATGCCAGTGCTTTCTTAACATTAAAGGCGTTTCTGATTGAATACATACTTTTTTCATTTTCACCTCTTATCAGTTCCATATTTACTGATTCCACTTATTTTAAGAGATTACCAAATGAACTATGTTCTCTTAGGATTTAGGATCTTGGCATTGTTCCTTTTACTTAAAATGCCTTTCTTTGCTATACTCTTCCCCTGATCGTCTCTTATGTATTCCCATAAAACTTAATTCCATCTACTAAATTCTAACTTTAACTAGACTTCTTTAAATTTCATACTGGTTTTTACTATTTCCATTAGTCACACTGTATTATAATACTTGGTTTTCTTGTCTGTCTCCCCTAGTATATAATTTTTCTTAGTGGTAATTTTTTTGCTTTGTTCTAATTTTTAAAAATTTATGTTTTAAAAATTGTGATAAGATACACATACATAAATTGTGGTATAACATTTTAATCATTTTCAAGTGGACTGTTCGGTGGCATTAAGTATATTCACACTGTTCACACCATCACCACCATCTATCTCCAGAACTTTTCTCATCTTGCAAAAGAGAATCTCTGTACTTATTAAACAATAACTCCTCATTCCTCCCTCCCCCCAAACTCCTAACAGAGACTTTTTGTCTCTGTCAGTTTGATTACATATCTCAAATAAGTGGAATCGTACAGTATATGTTCTTTTATAATTGGCTTATTTCACTTAGCATAATGTCCTCATAGTTCATCTGTGTGGTAGCATGTAAGAATTCCTTTTTTAGGCTGAATAATACTCCATTGTGTGTATGTATGTATGTAGCTCTTTTATCTTGTTTATCTTTCCGGACTTGGCACAGTTTCTGGCACATAGATGTGGCTCAGTGAATGTGTATTTTTGGATGAATGTATATGTCATGGAAGTGGTGTGGTGTGTGGAGCTATTGGGAAGCTTGGGTTTTAGTTGTGGCTCTTCTATTGATTTTGTCTGTGATTTTGGGTAAATAATTATCAGTTCATCTTATTTCTATAAAATGTTGATACCTGACACTTCAGAAGGCTTTGGAGATGGTTAAATGAGATACAGAGGTCCTCGTTCTCAGAGCTCCTGAGGTACACGGTTGCTACAGTGGAGCAAGTTTCGTCAGTGTGAAAATACTCACAAATAAATTAATCTCTTACAGAATTAGTCCTCCCTTAGATAGGCGAGCTCCCTGCCTGCCCCCCAACCCCCACCTTTTGGAGTACGTTTCTTGATTCTTGAAGAACAACCAACAATAGAGTGTAAATACCTTGCAAATTGACTTCAAGGGGAAATTGTATAACTTGCATACTTGCTTGAATCTGTCTGCACAGCTAAGGATAAATAGGGATTTGGAGATTAGATAATCTGGAGAGATGCTATCTGGATGAGAAATAAGCAAGCCCCTAAAAAAGAATAACTTGAATTTTAAAGAGGTATAGAGGGTTCTTGGGAGAATTGATGAAATCCTGAAATATTTTGGCAGAGATGACCTTCAATGTGATCATGTTATGCCCATCAAACAGAATCTGTCATTGTGCTGACATACAAATTTTCAGAAAAATCCTCTTTCCCCCAGACTTAACAGTTCATCCTAAGATTTAGTGTAGTTTTAATTATAAATTGGATTTTTGTTAAATATAAGCCCCCCTGAAAAAAAGTGAAAATTTTACTCTTAGTTTTCTTTGTTATTTGAAATAAAATTTTTGTCCCTGTTTTAAACGAATTCATTTTTACATGGCCTTTTTCCGGATCAATTATTTTCAGGAATTGAGGATTTTCTGTATTAACTTATTCAGAAACTTTTTTTCTGAATCTGTGTAATGCCAAACAAATAAGAAATTATAGTAATAACCGTAAATGAAGAGCATGTTATGGAACAGTGTCTTTATTGGAAATTTATTTTCTTAAACATAATGGTTGTTGGGGCTTCAGGTTTATCCCACAGGTATTAGTTTTAGAAACTAGAACAGGCAAACATTTTACTTCAGGCAGGTTCAACACTTCAGGGTGGCCTAAAAATATTTGATGTAGATCCATTTAGTTTATGTAGAATTGACTTATTTAGTTATGATGTAATTCAGGTTAAAGAAAACAACTCTCGCCTGAAATTCATTAATGACTGAATGTAACCATGTACTACAAGGAAATTGAAAAAATTGTATTTAAAAATTTTTAAATTCAGATAAACCTGATTTTAAAAAGAAACTGTGTATACTGTGGCACTGTTACCAGAAAAAACAATCCAGAAGCTCTTTAGTGCTAGTTCTCTATTTTTGTCTAAAGAGAAAGTCCTTTCTTTTTTCTCTTTTTCTCTTGCTTTTCCCCCTCTCCCTCTCTCTTTCATCTCTAGATAGATCTATGAATTAAATCACAGCATTGAAGAGGGATTTTAGAGATAATGTAGTTATCCACCTTTTCTCTTTCTTGGGTGCTTGAAGTCCCTTTTTAGCCAGTGCATTTGATCATACCGCATCTGCTTGGAACACCTTCAGTGACTGAAAACTCACTTGTGGGAAACAGTCATTTCAGTGGGAAATTTTTGTTAGAAGTTCTTTCCTACTGCTGAGCTGAAACTTGTGTTTCTGTGTGTTAGTGCTTTGCATCTGCTGTGCTGAGAGTGGCTCTAATCCTTCCACTTGACAGCCTGGATCAGTCAGGGTAATCTTGGCTTTCCTGCCGTAATAAACAATCTCTAAGTCACAGAAGTTTAACAGATTGTACTCTTAGTTGACACTTGATGAGATTATCTGCATGTCCACTGTGGATTAGAAAGGGGCTTGTGATCCTGGTCTCAAGGACCCGGGCTGACAGAGGGATCGTTGGTCCTCTCAGATGTGGCAGAGGGCGAGAGAGCTTGGGGAGGTCTTGCACAGGCAGTGAATGTTCTGGCCCAGAACGACACACATCACCTCTACTCAGAATTTGTCAGCTAGAACTTGTCACGTGGCCCTAACCGCATCACAGGGCGTGGGGAGCGGTCGAAAGTGCAGTTCTACCACGTGCCCAGAATGGCAGAGAACCAGAATACTTGGTGAACGACTGTCACACAGTCGTTCAAGAATTTGGAGATGTGTTGTCATGTCTTTGTACGCTTCTCTTGCATAGGATAAAAATTCCTAATATTTCAACTCATTGTGATACGATTCCCAATTTCCTAAGCCATCCAGACACCCTGCAGTTTTTCTGTGTTTTTACTGATGGGTATTGTCCAGAAGGGAACACAGTATTCCTGCATTCCTGTTGGAATTTTTTTCTTTTCCTTTTGGCAGTCTAAAATCAGGTAGTATTAAACCAAACAGTGTTCGGGTTAGTCTGATAACTTTTATAGAGGTGGCTTTAAATTGTGTCCTGAATGGTTTAAGTTCAGAGTAAGACAGCTGTAGTATAGTACAGAGATAAGTTTTGAGATTTGGATTCAAGGCCTGACTTTCAGGAGCTGCTTTATGCAGGGCATGTTGCATGGTTTTCCTGAGCCTATTTTCTGATTCTGATAGATAGAACTTAACAGGATTGATGAGAATGTGAGCAGACGTGTTTTTATGGACTTTACATAAAGCGGTATTAAGATACTGTTACTAAGAAGCATTGTTTTGTTTCCTTCTGACTAGTTTCAACTTAGTTCATTAGGGACTCACTTGTGAGTGTTTGAGTTCATACCTAGATACATAATGAAGTAGTGAACATATATACTACAGTCCTTGTGGGTGTAGATCATCAACACATACATTTTTATATTATTATTGAAAAAAGTCAAACTGATGTGCTGCCTCTCATTTGCAGGTAGGGTTCTTTCACAGTCTACTCCTGGGACTCCATCAAAGACCATAACAATATCTGAAAGTGGTGTTATTGGATCAACTTTAAATTCTACAACACAGACACCAAATAAAATAGCCATCTCACCTTTGAAATCGCCAAATAAGGTAAAAAAAAAAAAAAATTAGCCACAAATGCCAAGTGTTGTGGTTAATGCCTTTATGTTCTTACTAGTCACTTTAGATACTTCAGTTTTAATATATTCCCAAACAAGTAATAGGCATTCATCGAATACTAGATTAATTTAGTAATCAAGGATATATGGCAGAAAAAAAGCCTTACTCTAAACACATAGTAACCTAGTAATCATTTTGCATGCTAAGATAATTTCCATGGCCCATATGAAGGTGGGTACAACAGACATCTTTTGAATGAGGTACATGATGTGTTTAGTTCTTCAGTTAATATTTGTGCAAAATTATTGTCTTTGGGAAGTCACATATGTAGTGACTATATGAATATAAAATGTTAAATGTAACTTTATTATTGTTATTTTGATAAAATACTCTGTTTTCTGCTTAAACTGTCCTGGGTTTCATGGAGATCTGAGCTTTTGTTGGGAAACAGAGTACCCAGAGTACTAGAAATTGCCATCAAATGCTGGTAACCAGATTCTCAGAGTTTTTAGACTTAGTACAGTTCATTCAGAGCATTCAAAAGCTTTTCATAATTTGTTTTCATCTTAAGGTAGCTATAATTTTACTCTTAGGTCAAGTAAGTAGTCTTTGCTCACTTTCCTAAAACATACCGAGTCATTATACCAGCATAACATTTTGAAAAGGTATGTTTTAAAGGACATATTCAGGTGGAAAGCTAAGCATCATTATTCTGTAAGATGCTGCCTTTGTGATTCTGGAAACTTACTACCCTTTGTACTGCCTTTTCCCTTAACTTATTCTTATTATTCATAAATAGAACAAACATTAAACATTTGTTTTACATTTTTAAAAAAGTATAGCTGGTGGTTTATGTCTTAGTGAGACTTGAATATAATGTATAAATATAATGTCTCTTATAGTTCATTAAAATGGGATTCTACCTGCATAATAATAGAAAATAATTATTTACTTAAATGAAATGAATTCAGTAGATATTTGAGTGCTAACTATGTGCTATGCATAGTGATAGGCATTGGGGATAAAAGCATGAATAAGACAAGTTTTTCATTTCAACAGGGAAGTTAGACTTAAACATTAAAAATTGCCCTACAGAATCATGATGGTCACAAGTGGGTTGATGAGCTCTGCTGTGTGTCAGGGAAGTTTTATACAAAGGCTATTCTTGAAAGGTCTTAACTTTAAAGGTGTTTTGGGTCTTAGCTGTGGGTGAGCAGAGGAGGCTTTCTGGATTGAAGTAATACTTTACACAAAAGCGGAAAAGTGTGTGGCCCTTTGAGGGAACTACATTGCTTTGGTAGTGTAGAGCTGAGGGTGCTGAGGTTAGATGGAAGGTTTTATTATCTTCAGGGGAGTTTGCCCTGTATTGTTCTTGAAGACTTTCTGTGGCTTTCCATTGCTTCTAGGGGAGTGGTGTCCTTGTCTGCACATTGGGATCACCTGGGGAATGCCCAGTTCCTACCCCCAGAGACTGTTTTAATTGATCTGGAGTTTGGCCTGGTATCAGGATTTTTAAAAGCTCTCTAAGTGATTTTAATGGGTACCCTAGATTGAAAACCACTACTCTAGGATAATATGAGATATGCATTTTTAAAAAGATGATTCTTGTGGCATTTTATGAAAGATAGTTTGGAAGAAAGTAAGTCTGCATTCTGAGAGAGACCAGTTAGGTTAGTGATTCTCAACCTTGGCTGAACTTTTGAAGCACCCTGGGACCCCTTGAAAACACTAATGGCTGGGTCCTACCCTGACTCCGTTTAAATGAGGGTCTCTAAGACTGGGGCCTAGGTATTTTAATATTTTAAAATTCTTAAGTGTGGGCCAGGGTGGGAAATCACTAAGTTAGATTATTATGTTTGAGCTAGACTAGTAGCTAAGAGGCTTGGGAAGAAGAGATGTGTTAAAAAAAACTTTAAGACATAAGACTGGATGTCAGGGTCCTACAGAGGGGAAGACTCTAGGATGACTCCTAGATTCCTGACTTGAATAACAGAGTAGGTGGTGGCACTATGGGACTAGTATGACTGGTATATGGGCGATACCTGATGGCATACAAAGAGGAACGAGCTTGTTTTTCTCTCATCCTTGGCTTTAGCCATGAGATCTTGGATCTTCCTTCCCTACCTCTTGACAAGAGGTTATTTTTAACTGTAAGAACAAGCCTTACTTTGGTGATTAAATTCTCAGGTATGAAAAGTCTAGTCAAAACCTTAAATCTAGTTGAAAGCTTCTCTCTTCAACTCAGACCTAATCATGGCTCAGGGACCATGTAGTGGAGAAGAGGAGTGTAATCAGTTTCTTCCCCTCTTCTACCTCCTCCCCCCTCTGCGCCTTCTGCTTTTGGCTACTGATTGGAAGGAAGATTAGAAGAGAACGGACAAAGTTTTATATGACTGAGACTGTTGTCATCTAGTGGCCAGTGTGGCAGGTGTCCCAAGTGTGGACTTTTACAGATGTGCGTTTAGGAAAGTTTTTGGAGACCCTTGTGGATATGTCCACATTGCCCAGTTCTCGGTCAAGAGTGTGGTACACACTCAGGCTATCTTTGGCAGTTTTCTCCTGGCTGTCGCTTGACTCCTGTAGTCTACAGCCTTTTACTGCAGAGCCACCCTTACAGCAGAGGTACATGTCTTTGGCCCATCAAGATGCTGTAGCCCTTCTGCAGGCTGGGACCAGTGTCTGTGTTCACATATGTCCTAAACTCCTGGGGGTATGTGTCAGGTTCTCCCAGGAACTCTCTCATTGAATTCATTTCTGGTGCGGCTAGACCAAGATAGACTTGAGACTTTATCTCACACACACACACAGTATCTTTATCACAATATGTTGCCAACCAAAAATTAAGATGTCCGTTTTCCCTTCTTAGAGTTGTCACCCAGTCTATCCCAGAGATTTTCTTGGAGAGCCCCTGCCTTTGTTCTTACTGAGGTATAAAGCCTAAGCATTCTGTCTATGAATTCACTTCTATTTCTAATCTGTTTTGTTTCATTTTCAATAGGCAGGAGGTAGATGACAGGGATGCTGTCTTTCAGTAAGTCCGCCATGGATGTCTTGTCTTACTTTTTAGAGTGTGGGGGTTTATTATTTGTAGTTCTCACTTCAACCAAATTTGAGATAGTAGAAAAAAATCACCTTATCGTTTTATACTAGAGAGGAAATGTAGGGAGAATAGCTGATTTGGGCAAAAAGATACTGTTTAATTCTTGGAGATGTTGGTCATCGAAGTACCAGCTGAATAGCTAAAGGAAGATGTCCATTAGGAAGCTGAATATAGGCAGTGACTAAACTATGCATATAGATGAAATCAAGGGAGCATGAGGTTTTCTGTAGAGAGAAGAAAGCAGGACCAAACCACAGAAATATTAAGAGTTAGTAGAAGAGAAGGAGTCAGTGGAAAAGAAGGAATGGTAAGAGAGGTAGTAGGAGAAACTAAAAAAAACTGGAAGGGGAGATGACTTCAAGAATGATATTGGGCTATAATCTCAAATGTTAGGAAAGTCAGTTAAGAAAAAGGCTGAAAAATAAGGATTTGCCCCATTGATCATTAGTGGTCAAAAGGAAACTCCAAATACCCACCTTTTCCTACCTGCCAACATTCACAATCTGACCACCATCTGCCTTGAATAACCAGGAATTCTCTCATTATTTATCCCTGTTTATATTAGGTAACACCCAAAGGCCCAGATTCCTATAACACCTTTTATCTCTCACATCTAATCTCCTTAAGACTGTCAATATCTTCTGTCCTTGTTCCCACCTATCCCCTACTCTTGAACTCCCTCCACTGTGCCCTCCCTGGAGTTCATAATCAAAATAATACCCTAAATCCTCAGTCTCTTTACTGAATGTTCCTTTTATTTTCTTGTTCTAACAGATACCCAACTCTCCCCTAAGATACTGCCCCAGCAGACCTCTTAAATGATGGCCATTTTTTTCTCCTTTAGTCCTTAGGCCACTGAGCCTGCAGTGGAGGGGACAGGACTGTGAGTCTTCCTTGCTTCTTCTCATTACATTCTTCAGACCATTCTCACTTTCTTCTCCATCTTTGAAACTAATGTTTTCAGGTTTGTTTTGAAAGTCAGGCATGTCTAATATTTTCTCAATTTACTTGATACTATAGTTGTCTGTTATTGTAGGACATATTTCTTCCATTATATTTATTTTCTAAAGTAATCCTCAGTCTCTAAAGTATTTATGAGATATGTAAATAAGCACTAAACCAATCAAAATGTTCTACATGGTTTACTTTCTTCTTGCTTTAGATTTTAGCAGTGCTCTTCTCTACTTTCTGACACTTAATGTCTTTTGTCCTGTAATCTTATTCTTACCTTTAAGTACTGTTTTTTTTTATGGCATATTTGGATTTATTTCAGAAATGCAGTGTGATTTAACATTCAGAAATCTATCCATCGAATTCACAACATTAATAGGAAAAAGAATAATTTTACAAATATATACAGTACATCTCAATACATGTGGAAAAATCCTGATGGTAGCCAGCCTCCGTTTTGGTTAAAAATACTTCAAACAATAAAAATATAAAGATACTTTAGGGCACCTGGGTGGCTCAGTTGGTTAAGTGACTGCCTTTGGCTCAGGTCAGGATCCTGGAGTCCGGGGATCGAGTCCCGCATCGGGCTCCCTGCTCGGCGGGGAGTCTGCTTCTCCCTCTGACCCTCCTCCCTCTCATGCTCTCTGTCTC